CTGGCAAAGGCGCCTGCCGCGCTGTCCGCAGCGCCGGGGAGCGGGGCCGGTGGCAGTGACAAGCCTGGCGCGGTTTGTGCGATTTACTGTTCCGTGCAGAACGAAACGAGGCTCGAACTGGGGAGCAGGCTGGCTCCTCTGCGCTCCTCTGAAGCTACGGGCTTTGGCTGGCTCCTCTGCGCTCCTCTGAAGCTACGGCTTGCGTCCAATGTCTGGTTTATTCACGAAACATCCGTAGTCGTAAATTTTGTGACACTGCTGAATCGCCTTTTTATTCCCAAGCCAGAATTCTCTCATGAGTGAGGAGCTATTTATGTATCTTTATGATGGATAAATAATAAAAAATTACTTTTAATCTTTAAGGTAGATGATAGGAAACTGGCGTGCAGAGTTAATTGCAGTCCTTTTTGGTGTGAACAAAAACAGTACAGCAGCTGTGTCTGCACCCGGTCCTTGTCAGAAGCCTCTGTCATCGTGAATGTCCTCTTTACAACACTGAGCCTGACTGAGCCTCCAGTTGAGGATACTCCCTTTTGGCTCTGGGTAAGCACTACTTTCTGATCCCAGATACCAGCTCTCAGTTTGTAACAGAAGCGACTTTCTAATCATATTGTTACCATAGCTAGTGAATTTCTCCTAGCTTTATTTTACTTCAGTGCCATTTAGATGATCTCAGAATCATGCAAACTTAGTAAAGCTTTGAGGATTGCTGTCTAAAACTCCTCCCCCTCCACCGGACACAAAGCAAAGTCTGAGCTGAGACCACGATCTATTAGTTGCATTATTCCTGTATAAACTGTTACAACTGGTGGATGGCACTCCTACCCAACTGTAGTTTTGTCTCATTTGACTTGGACACATGTTCTCCAGCTTTCATTTTTTTTTCACCATTAGTCCTAAAACTAATTATTAGATCACTGTTTCTCATCTGCTACAGATAATGTACTGAAGTTGAGCTAGTTCAAGAATGAATACCTAGACACACAAATTTGGGCATTATGGAGCCTATACTTTTCTTTAACTAGGATAATTTCTCTCTTTTTTCCCCAAACAGACCTTATACCTAGCCAAGTGAATGCTGCCAGTATAAAGTTTAAATGTTGCCCCTGACATTGCTTGCCTTTGTTATTTGACCTCATAACTTTCTGAATACAAAATTTTCCCAGCTGCTGGAGTTCAGCAAATACAAGTTCAACTAATGTAAACAACTCCTGAATTCTATTTTGCAATCTTTTGGTAGGTTCTTCAGTCTGTTCTCTTCTGAATCCTTTTATTAACATAGATAATAGGTTCACCCCACAGTAGTTGGCACTAGCTCCAAAATGTTAGGTGTCTTTTTTTCCTCAGTGAAGTTTCTCTGGTCCTCATTAGTCCTATTCCTTTGGTTTAGACTTTCACCAGACAAAGGCTAAATACAGCCTGTGACATTTACAAGGACAATCCATACCTTAATTGATCTTTTTGCTGATTGATTTGGGAATTCTTCTGCAGAGTTTTTTATAGACATGAACTTAGAGTGTAACCTATCCTCAGCCTTACTTTCCCACTATGAAATCTCTCCACAATCAGTTTACCAACTGGATGTGTAAATGAAGCATGGTGATTTTAGCAGGTAGATACTAGTTTTCTGTTCAAACTGACGGCTTTTACCAACCACAAACAGAAATGTGGCCTCATGACCCAAACTAGCACAGGTCATACGCTTCTTAAATCCTCTGTTGGGTCTCATTCAAGAGGCTCCACAGTGAGAAACGCTGGCACCTAACCTTGCTGTAACTCTAGCCCAGGTGCTTGTTCTGGAATTTTTTATTCCTAAATGCCTTGTCATATTGAGCCACAGGGTAGTCATGGATGGAAGACAGTTTCAACTGTGATTTACCCTATTTCTAGCCCTACGAGCTTTGCTGGGACAGTGTAATTGTACCACGTACCCCTTTTCTGCATTTGCCAGCTCTTCATGTGTGTCTTTGTAGCCCTAGGGTACTTGGTTAAATTTAAGGTTCTGAAATGTACACTGTTAGCAGCAGGGTGACAGTTAACCTACAAGCAAACTGAAGGCAGGCTATTGCCAACAAAGATCAGTTGCTTTGTTTTATTGCTAGCTCAAAGTCCATACTGCGCTATTCCCAGTGCTGGATTAAGGGGCAGTTGAGAGCTGTAGTTCAGGCTTGGAGAGCTACTGCAGTTTACATGGAAACTGCTAAGGGAATACAAAGTTGAAGAGCTGGTGCTAATAAGCAGACTCAGCTGGTTTCTGACCTCCCTGCCAATGGGGCTCGTTTCAGGGATTAGAGAATGGCAGTAAATAAGGCAGTGATCTTATGTGAAGGGGAACAACAAAACAAAAAATGCAGTGGAGATGGTTGTCTTTATGGGTGCAGACTCCATTTCTGCATGCAGTTTATAGAACTTGAAGGATTTTTATTCACTGTTAAACCCTAGGTTGCTTGTCATTTCTAAAAAGTAGCTCTACATACTTATGATAACGAGAACACCTTAGAAGTGACTTTTTCATTAATGTACTGGAATTGTATTCCATGCATTGTTTGTATCATTTACACTATTACATATACAAACACACAGAAATATAAAGAAGTATTAAGGTCTTGCAGTTATTGTTATATTGTAAACACGAGTTTTGTTAGTTTCCTGTATTTGCATAGTTAACTTTATAACAAGGAATATTGACTAGGAAAGATTAGATTAAGGTGGCAAATCCAAGAGAAAGCAACTGGTTCATGGTTGCTAAAGCTCTACTGGTCAGTCAGTCCAACCCTAAAGAAGCCTGCCCGTAACTAGGGCTGCCTGCGTCCAATGAGGAATGCGTGAGGGAATGAAATGGAAAGAAGGAAGGAAAGAATGAAAAAATGAAGAAAGAGAACTTGAAATATTCTTCTTTTCCTTCATCTAGAATTGAGATCTACCTTCTCAGTGTTCCATTTGGAAAATATTCATACCTAAGAAAATAGCCGTCAGCTGCTGTATACAGTCTGCCTGTGAACTAACGAAATTGCTAGTTAATCCTTGTAGCTGCTCCACTGCCAGTGAAAACACCGATGTGGAAATTAATGCTGTTAATGTTATGGTTCAGTTAAGTAAGCGTAATGTACTAGAAAGTCAGGCCCAGTACAGAGGACTCCATTAACAGTGTTTTAGAAAATGTTTGCTTTGATGGCTTTTCCTTCCCTTGCAAACATTTGCTTAACGCCATCTGATATCCGTTATACAATATTTGCTCTAATATGTAAGTGTAAAGCAGCTGTAAACATTTTATCCTCCCTTCAGTGGATCATCAGTGTGACCCTTGTTTCTACGTTATTACGAAGAATATATGAAGTTGTGGATAGTCTCTGGATTTGTATGTCTTGGAAAATAAAATAAATCAAGAAAATATCAATAAATGGAAAGCTCTTTCTATGAACAGGTAGCATTTTAAAGGTTTTTGCTTTGCACTAAGAAGTAATTTGATCACGTGAAGGCCAAACATTAGTTCTATACTATCAAGACAAAATTTGATTTAAAAACATGATTGCATACACGTTCTGGCCATTTTGTACAGATCACTAGTCCTCCTCACAGTTCCACATACAGCAAATAGTTTTGTTTCACATATTATCTCAAGTGACTTTTTAATACTCTGCATTACAGAAGCATTGTACAGTGCTTTGCCTAGAAAAGGAATGGGAAAAAAAAAGCCTATTGAGGAAGGATTTATTCTTTGTTAGTTTAAATGAGTTATTTAATATAGTATGTCAAGACATGATTCTGTGTCGTTTCCTTGCTAGTTGCTAGACCTAGGAAGGTCTTCAGTATCTCAGATGTTTGTGGGTTGCCAAATACCGCAGGACAGGAGATGACCCACATGTCAGCTGTTGATTGCCTCTTGGATGAAGCAGGATCATGAGTGCTTCCAGGCACAGTGAGAACATCACCGCAGCTGCCTCTCTCACAGAAACCTGCCTACCTGCTCCCCAAAAACTTCCTGCTTTCTGTTTTGTAGGTTGTGGATTTGTTTTAACCATCCGTTATAAACTTGACTCCTTTGATATGGCTAAGATGCGGATGTAGGAGCTTCTGAAGCAGTCAGAAAGAATGTAGGAGAAAATGAAAGCTTATTTATGTTTGCTGTTACCTATTAGTCTTCGTTGTGTCTAAGGTGCTTATCTTTCTACCTAAGCAGAAAGATAATTAGCAGCTTATGAACCAGCAGCAAAATCTTTAGAATTAAAATATCAGGAGGCCTTTAGCATTTATACTAAAAGAGGTTACTTTACTGAAATATTGCCAAGACATACCTTCAAACACTGTATTAACAAAGTTTCTGGAGAACCAGACTGTGCCTGAATGGCTCTGTCTGAAGAAGAGTTCACTGAGCAGGTGCAGCACTGTCCCAGGGGGTAACATGGATGGGTGGAAACGTGCAAAAAGTTACTGCAGTGGTTCTACACGTCCTGCATCCAAGAGGCAATTCTTCTGACACTACTGAGTAAGAATAGTGGCGGTAAAGAGGGACTGGAAAGTGATCGGGTCACTTGGTAGACTCTCCTGAAGACATTAAATTGTATCTTGGTGGAAACCTACTTATTGCACAAGATTTTTCCTGATAGAACAACTGTTATTTAGGCTTAACCTCATTATGGTTGCTGTTTTAACGAAGTACTAGAAGTAAGATGGCTGCTACTGAGCCACAAAGGGACTTACCCTTTGCACTCATGTTCAAAGCTAATTTTTCTTTATCAACTAGAATGAAAACCTGAAGAAAACCTCAGATTCTGCACACTTGTGCGTGCTAAACCCAAACATGGATAAAAGAATTATTTTTATTGTTGTTTGTATTGTAAGTCTTACTTATCTTTAAAGGAGAGATACTTTTTCAGTAAAAAAAAATTGTAGCAAAAGGACATTTTCTCTAGTCATAACATATAAAAAATTATTTGCAAGAGATATTTCTTAACAAGCAACTTCTTGGGAAAGAGCTAAGAGAGAGAAAATTAATTCCATTAGTTCATTTATATGACAGTTCCCTCGCTGGGCACCCTGAAGATCTATAAGCTATTTGACTTAGCAAAAAAACCCCCCAAAACAACCAAAAAACCCAACAAACCCAACAAACAAACAAACAAACCAACCACAAAAACCAAACCTCACCAAATATTTACAGCTAAAAAGCTGGGAAATATTTAGTGTTGAAATACCCTGAAATTTTGGGTTTGGAGAGGTTTTCCTTGAAATCAGCTAATACCAGATGAAGTGAATAATTCAGTCAACATACAGAAAAATATTGTTGTGGTTATTCAGAAACAATGCATACAATTTTCAATCTCTTTTTAACTCTAAAGTATTCTACATGGCTTAATGCAACTCGTAGCAGTAATCATATAGGATTTCAATCTGCTAAAAAGTTTCTAAAAGCAGACTGTTAATACCTAAAGTAAATGCAAGATTGTGTCAGGAACAGAGGTCTTCTGAGTGCATTTAATTGTCATGCTTTATTTGCTGAATCTGCTTAATGTTTCCGTGTGACTTCCCTGACCACACATCATAAAGCCCTGTTAAGCTGTGAAGTCTCCCTTCAGCAAAAACAGTTAAGTAAAGTAGTTCATATCTTTGTCTCCACAGCTTGTGCAGTTTAGATCCAAGTGCCATGGAGAAAGCAGTAGGGAAGAGCACAGTGCATATATACAGCTGCTTTTGTTTTCTGGTTTTAATTGTTTCACTTACATAGATAATCTTTAATAGAAGGTATTAATATGTTGGAATATTAGAACCTGATCAATAACTGAAGTTTTCCTCTTGTGCTCTGATGATATCAGATGTTATCAGAGATTTGATATCCATTTAATCTCTAGTGGAAAAAAGTTTGTCACGTAGCCACCTCACAAATGAACACAAGCTTTTCCTCTGCTGCAGTTATTAATACTAATATTGGTAAATCTGATATGCTAATGCGTTATTTGCTGTATATTCTTAAAATCCTGCTGTCTGGCAGATCTCAGTTTCCTTTTGGCTGTTTGCCCTGGAGAACCCAAGTGCTTCACTTGGGAATACTTCAGGAAAATACTCAAGCGACTGTTTATAAGGGCATGTAGTGATAGGACAAGAGGTAACAGCTTTAAACTAGAAAAGGGTAAATTCAGGCTAGATATTAGGAAGAAATTCTTTATTGTGATGGTGGTGAGGCACTGGCACAGGTTGCCCAGGGAAGCTGTGGATGCCCCATCCCTGGAAGCACTGACCAGGTTGGATGGGACTTTGGGCAACCTGGTCTGGTGGGAGGTGTCCCTACCCATGGCTGGGGTTGGACTGGATGAGCTTTAAGGTCTCTTCCAACCCAAACCATTCTGTGATTCTGCGATGATTCTATGATCTGTTCCCAACCTTGCTCTGCTTTATGAAGCAGGTCTCATTGCTGCTAGGCTGGGGGGTTGCAGTAGGTCTGGCTCTAGCTCCTTCTGGTAGAGGTGTGTAGGACTTGCATCACATAAATAGCACTCAAGCATGGCGATGCTCAATGAGATAACTCCGAGCTTAGATGACTGAGCTTCATCTGCATTGTGGTCTGGATCACCATGGCTTCTTGTATGAGGAAAACAATGGTTTTTCGGTGCTTTGAGAATATTGCTGCTTTAAAAATGAATCTAGAGCTACTACTGTTCATGTATGGATGCTGGTTGTACTTTCCATGACTGAAAGTGTGTTGTGCAAAGCATTAGACGCAGCGTGGTAGCCAAATTCTATTGCAAAGTGAAATGTACAGCTTTAATGACAGTGCTGCAAAGGCCAATTATTTGTGTATTCTTTCTGTCCTTTATACAGGCAGCCCTTAATGAGGTATACACGTTACTAATGTCCATCCTGCAGAGAAATGAACTGTGAAAAAATGCAAGCAAACATGTTCCAACTGTTCATACAGAGGATTGCGTAAGTCACACACTGTGCTTCCACAAAACTTTCCCCACAATTTGCTGCTGCTCAGCATGTACTTCACTTGGTTTCCTCTAATTAAAATGTGCAAACAGAAAAGCTTTCCAGTGCTAACAGACTCATGTGCTTTGCAGGCGATTTAGAGCCACGTGTTCCAGGAATGGCTGGGTACACCACACCGATGCAATATAAAGGCAACGTCAATCACCTTCTCTCGCTTTTTAATAGCTCCCCTCCGTGGTTCTCATTCTCCATCACTAACACCTTAAGATTAAAGGAACTTTACTATATTTCAAGTACAGTTTAATCCATTAAGATGGATCTCCTTCATAGCAATGGCGTGCTTATCATTCAGCATTTACAGAGGGACTACAGGGCTTACCAGGATTTCCTTAATTTTATGTCACATGTTGGAGACCCCCGGAATATATTCTCAATTTATTTTCCTCTTTGGTTTCAGCTCAATCAAGTGGTTGGTACTAAAATGATATGGGTGGCAGTCATTGGTGATTGGTTCAACCTCATATTTAAATGGTAAGAAGCTGGATTTATTTTAAAATTTGGTATTTTTAATGGTGGTTACTATATGTGCCTCAAGTTTAGAAAACTTGTGTTTTCTATTTTCTAATAATGTGCTAGTGGACTTTCCCCTGTAATTATAAAACAGAAATTCACAATGAAGATATTTAAGATATGTTTGAAATGGCATTTTGATAGAACAAGAAGAACCTATATGAACTATTATAGAATAGTTTTGGCAATATAGCTCTTCATATTCATTGTAAGATTATTTAATGTGCTTTGCTCAGGCCTTCTTACATAAAAATATTTTTATTGTGTTTCTGCTTCATTTCATTTTTTATTTTCCTTTGTCAGGATTTTATTTGGCCATCGCCCATACTGGTGGGTGCAGGAAACAATGATTTATCCCAATCAGTCAAGCCCATGCCTTGAACAGTTTCCTATAACTTGTGAAACTGGACCAGGTAAGACATGTGTTGGAGTTTACATCAGTACATTTAATAGAGATAGTGGCTTTTGGGAGGAGAGGATGTGACTTATGAAGTTCTTATATGATATACAAATCTCAGACCTCATGTTTAAATAGCACCAAAACACAGGAAGGGAAATAAAGAAGAAATAAGATGTGGTAGTTATTTGTTTGCTGTATGACAAGAATGTTTACTTCATTGCCTTTAAACCATGCGAGGGAGGGGGATTTGATTTAAAAATAGCTCCTAGAATGAACTGGTGTATTGGAAAGGAATTTTCACAAAATCTGTGTAATAGGCTCAGGGGATCACCGGCTTTGTGAGGTCACTTTTAGGAACAGTTGCAGTGCCAATGACATCAGCCTGGGGAGAGAAATTCCCCAAGAGTGGTGTTTAACAGTGTTTCAAAACAGAGCAGGGCACTGTTGAGTTTGAGGGCTTGTGCGCTATTGCCAGCATTATTCAAACCCCCAAAACTAGTAGGTGGTTCAGTGTAAATAACAGTAATATCAACCATCGATCATGTAACGTGTCACAAGTGAAAATGGAACCCCTCTTCCCAGAACCAGACGTTGGCACTGAATGTGTGTGGGGGTACGTGTACAAGTACATCGGAAAAAAATTTCCTCAAAAAGATGTACATTTTCAATGTATTTTCACTTTTTTATACCTCATTGTCTTCTCTGTGGAACTCAAAATGCAATACTGCTGAAGTTAAATGAGCTTGTGCAACCATAATGTATGAAATAAGGTAAACTTGCTTGGAGCTGACTGACTGAATTTAGTTTAATTCATTGTACAAGAAAATAATGACTGTGGAAATGAATGTTTTGTACCTCCACAGTACCACTGCAGGCTTTTAAGTGGTTTGCAGAGCTGTGTTTTGTTAACAATATCCTGTATTATATCCCATTGTAATTTTGAACGAGAAGCTTAAGCCCTTGTATCAGGCAGGGTTTAATAATGCCTGGTCTGTATGTGATCTGCAGTCTGCTTCAAGTTTATTCATTTGGGACCTAACCCAAGATATTAAAGTCCTTCAGGTCTTTTCAAAAGCTGTCTGAACTGTGCCCATTCAGCACCGTGTAATTCCAGGCCCTGGCTAAGGAACCAGTCAGTGTGTTTCATTTTGGTTCACTGAACCAGAAGGCCTTTCTTCCTGTTACTTTCTTCCTGAAGTAACAAGTCATTCCTATTCCTGTCCAGTGGGTACCACCATCGTATCAATTCCTTGTCTGCACTTATAATGGCCACATTTTCTCCCACCTCCAGGTTTGCCTTGACCATTGACAATATCTGTCACTCACCTGTTCCTCATTGACTAGAGGAGGTACAGTCAGTGCAGCTGTTAGGTTCACCCAGTAATTTTTTGAGCTTACATGGTACTTTGCACACTTTTAAAATACGCAATTTATATGAAAAGATTAGAGAAGCAGACACAGATGTGAGAAAGGCATATCCAAATATTGCTAGGATAGCCTGAACCGCAAACTCCCCAGTTCAACCAAAGGGAGAGCTGAGGGAACTGTTTTTACAACTACATGGCAAGCAATCTAGGACCTGAATTTGGTTTGTACTTCTGGAATGAACTGAACTAAAACCCTGCAGCCATCTTTTCTCTAGTAAGTGCTTAAGAACATAAACCTTAAAGTGGAGTTTATGATGTTTCTAGTAGGTGATTTGCAGATGAACTATGAAGCAATTTTCCTAGATGACATTTTCCTAGATGACAACAAAGAGAAGCTTTCCCATTTCTGATATTCAACATTATGGTTTCTTTATCAGTGACATTTGTTCCATTGTGAGGTTTAGAAGTGCACATCTGTAACAAAATTAACCAGAGTTGGTAGTGTGGCTACCAAAGATACTGCCAAGCAGAATACCGAAAATGAGTGCAGGGAGCCAGAGATCATTGTGCTTATCCTCCCTA